AAGCCATTCCACCAGCTGCTCTCAATCTCGCACTCACTTCAACGTTCACTCCTATCTCCGTCTACTCCGTCTCAGCACGTGTGTCCGCTGCCAATATCCGACTGGCAATATCAACCGTGTCTCAGCTCTGTGGATGAATAGCAGCTTTATGGTCTGCAGGTGAGCTGTTGCTACTGGATCACCATGTCACGATATTCATGTTATGTCACGTTTTTATGTCTAGGTTTGGGTGTTTTGCTGTTCTCCTTGTCATGTTTTCCTCCTGGTTTATTGTCTGGTCCTTTTCCCTGTGTTTTTCCTCCTGTCATTAGTTTCCCTGGTGTGTCTAATGGTCTGATTGTGTTCACCTGTGGCCCTTGTGTTTCTCCTTCCCTGTCCGGCTGTTTCGCGTCTTGTGATTACCCCTCCCTGTATTTAGTCTTGTCTCTTCCTGTGTTCGGTGTCGGTTCATTGTTTGTCTTTCCCTTCATGTCACGCTCCATGTTTGTCCTTGAAGTTTTGGTCCTGGATTATTTACTCGTGCTCCCCTGTTTATGGTAATTCAAACTTTGTCTCTTGTTTTCTTTTGTCATTGGCTTTTTTTGTAAATTAAAGCTCGCTTTTTGTTAATACTGCTTTTGGGTCCTACCTTTTCCACGCATCCTGACACACAGATCCCTCCTGTTTTTCTCCTTTGCTTTAAATCATATCATACTGTCACTTTTGTTTTCTTGTGACGGGTTCACTACCTTTCTTCTATCATTCCACAATGTCTGACATATACCGCATTCCTCTTACCTATTGCTTCAAAAAAAAAAAAAAGAATAACATTCTTTATTCTTCACATTAAATAAAAAAAAAATGGTCTCTTTTGTTGTAGTCATTCTAAAATTGGAATATAGACAAATAGTTTTATTATTACAGCACTTGAAGTTGTGCTGCATCCTACAAAATATACAAAACTGACTGTTGCAAATGCATCTGGTTTAAACTGAAACTTTTGCCCACAGCCTTCGGAATGCCTATAGTTAACACAACATAAGATTTCTTCATCAACATCATCAACGTCACCTTCAATGTCAATATCAACATCATGATTTTGGCATCATCATGTGTAGCATTGCCGTAATGAGTTGCATTGTCATGCATGCATGAGCATTCAAAGGGTCATGCTCGCAAGTCATTCCATGTCATTGGCACTTGGTAGTTCAAAAAAGGTGGCTGGGGGAAGGAGGGGTGCTCAGAGGGAAACAAAAAAAGTCTTGTAGCCTGCAAAGAGGTGAGGATCTACTGGATGTTAGAGCGGTGTGGTAAAGATCATGCAGATGAGGAGAAGTGTCAAACAGTCCTGGACCAGGCTGACCAAAGGCATTATGGGACCGAGATCACTTAATATCCAGCTGGAGTAAACACACAAAATGATCTGAGTGCCAAAATGGTTCGGGAGCCCCAGCCCTGCTCTTTTGGTTGAATCTCTCTGATTTGAAAGTTGGGATAGCAAATAGCTACAGTACAGTAATATCATTGTAGGAGTCCCCTCTTAACCATCAGAGGTAATAGTTAAAAAAAAAACTTGCAGAAAGCATCAGTACAATTGTTGCAAGTGGGACTTCTACAATGGCTGCACCAGCATTTAGATGCCCCCCATTATAAAAGTGTTTTGAGAAGTGGACTATTAGAGATTAGGGCACTTGGAGAAGGGCCCTTGACGGAATCGGGGTTAAAGAGGCACTTATTGAATAACCTTGGCCTTCATTGAGTGGAAATGGGCTTATGTTGAGGACTGGACTTTTTGAGCCGGTGTCATAGGATTTGGGTCTAAGTAGGGGTAGAGTGTTTACACAGTTTGTAATTTGAAAGTATAGGTTGTAGTTCAGAGGCCAATCATGTAGCAATAGCTCAGACTGATGGACTACTAAAGTATGTTTGCTAATCCTTTTTAGTAGAGAATGACAATGTCATTTGTGGTAATTTAGTTGATGCATTAATGGAGCTGTTGCTTAGTCACCACTGAGATGTATTGTTAATTTAAAGCTTGTGTGCAAGTTGAGGGTACCAGCTAAGCTAATGAACTCCTATCCATAATGCAATGGTGACAAATTACTTATTAGCTGTATTAGCTGCTGCTGCAGTTGACCAAAAGTTTTGTGTAATGAAAATCAATGTTAACATTAGCAAGCTATGCTAATTTGGCTTCACTTTCCGAGAGTGAGCTTGCTAGCTTTCACTTTTCAACCAAACATAAACAGCATGACGGGTCCTGACAAATGTAGAGTGAAGAAAAGGGATGTATTAAGTCATTAATGGTCAACAACCAATGCTATTTGGACAATGGGACACCTCTGTCAAGAGGGACGAAGCCAGGACACTTCCAAAAACATGTCAAAAAAGTTTGATTTGTAGTTTTTCTTAAAACAAGAATTGAGGAGAATTACATTTTCAGTTAGAATTTAAGTGTGCTGTGTATTTTTTGTGTGTATCGGAGATAAATTATTTGAAAGCACATCATGGCCTCCAGTGTCCACCCATATGGATGTGAAATGGACAAAGTTTATTTGTAGATGGAGCAGAGCGGACTATTGGCTGATGGCCATCGTGATGTCACTTCTACCTCGATTATATTTTTGATTTCTCAGATATTTATTCTGATCTTTGAATGGCAGGCAGGCAGGCAGGCAAGCAGCACCTACTTGTTACATGGACAGGAGCAAAGACCACAGAATTTCCCTAGATCGTTCAAATTCTTTTCTGCATCCTTCATGTCCTTATTGATTTGGTCCATTCCCTCCTCGATGCGCTCCAGTTGCTCTGATTAAACACAAGTCATTTATCCCCCAAAGAACGAAGCACAAGAAGAAAGAGAGGGAGAAGGAAGAGGAGAGTAAGAGAGAGATAAAGAGAGGACAAAGGAGAGAAGACAACAACTTCAGACACTCACTGTGACGAAAGAAAGTAAAAGAAAAAAAAGAGGAAAAACTAGACGCCACCACATATGTAAAGAACCGTTGGGGCATTTTCAGTACCTACTTGTTACACGGACATTTGAAAAGCCCACAGCATTTCCCTAAATCTTTTAAATTTTTCTCGGCTTCCTTCATGTCTTGGTTGATATGGTTCATGCCATCTTCAACACGATCGAGTTGCTCTGGTCAGGACAAAGGGATGACAGTAGTGGAATGAATTTCATTGACTGATTGACAGAAATATGAATTATGATGAGCAGTAATTGAGTCATGTGTTTTACTCTGGTGTGTGTGTGTGTGTGTGTGTGTGTGTGTGTGTGTGTGTGTGTGTGTGTGTGTGTGTGTGTGTGTGTGTGTGTGTGTGTGTGTGTGTGTGTGTGTGTGTGTGCAGAGTAAAAGATAAAGGCTGAACTTATTTCCTATTAATTTAGTGCATTAAAATAGAATAAAATAGAATGGTGCTTATGTTTGTCACTTCCAAACTTGTTGGGCCAGAGAGATTATATAACAAGCAAACATTTAAGTAAATATCTGAATTTCTTATTGAAGTCAGTTCAAATATTCTTGAGAGTACGCTCAGTTGCTTTCAAGCCGATTGTTAGGTGAGAAGATCGATACCTTGATTGTCGGTAAGATAAAATGAAGGTAGAGCAAGATGCCAGTTAGCCTAGCATAAAGAGTGCTGTAAATAGGAATACAGCTAGCTTGACTCTGTCAAAAGGTAAACAAATCTGCTAGTTGCGAGGGGAGGGACCTACTATAGAAAATTACATTTAAAGAACAGCTTAATCACTTTTAAGGTATTTATAGGCTAACTCTGTTAACATTAGGTTTTAGCTAGCCAGCTTTTTGTTCTCCTATGTTTTCAGTCGTTATGCTAAGCTTGGCTAACACTGCTGTACCTTCATATTTGGTGTAGGCTACATATATATGAGTGGCATTCATCTTCTCATCTAACATCACAGTGGGAAGCAATACATACTTATTTTCCAAACTTTTCTCTATAGGCTATTGTTCTTTTCTTTCAAGAAATAAAGAGATTGTTTGCTGTTAGCATAGCTGACATTTTAAAATGTTAATTTAATCATTTTTACGGACCAAGGCGATTTCACTTGAGAACTGTTTAATGTGCTGGCAGCATAATGCCACATAAGGTAAGTCTTTGTTCCTTCCTTTAGTCTACAAGAACAGTGAGCTTTAGTTGCTCCCTTTTGCTTTTCAAAATAACTTTTTCTTAGAAAGATGTGCCTAAAATATGAGTGATATTACATGCTTCTTGGTCTGAGCATGCAATCGCAGCCACTTTAGAAACCATAACAGTTACTGGTTTTAATCAAAATGTGTGGACACAAATATGTCTTTCATGGGCTTGGGAAACTTGTTTTTAGTTGTTCATGAGGCTACCCTTTCTAATTCTGAGGAGAATTATTTCTAATTCCAATGTGGTGAATTAAATTGTTAAAGTATGATACCTCAGTGAATACTGGATTATAAAACATAGAACTGCCTCTTACTTTGCATTGCCTTGGCAAACTTTCATGGTATTCTGGTTTATGGGGGCCAGGGTCTTTAAAGTGGTGGTGCACTGGTGACAAATAAAGGATCCATCCTGATTGTGATTTAAGGAAGTACGGTGCAAAGTATGAAAGGGTGAGGCACAGTTAAATATGGAATTGATTCAAAAAGTAGTTTTTTAGATTTTGTAAATTCCCTGGTTAGCATTCATTTATGTTAATATATTCAACCAAGAAAGGATCCACGTTGAGTCAGAGTTTTTAGAGCAAAGTGGGGGTAATGACATTAATAGTGTTTTTAAAAAGGTTAGTGACTCAAGGTTTTATATTACATTTTATAGCAAAAGCTCTACACATTATAAAAACTGTCTCAGATGTATCGCATGCCATAAAGCTAAAGGCTCTTCTTCCTGCATGTAGTCAATAACAAAGGGTCAGGGGTCAGATCAGGGTAACAGCCTCTTGTGTATCAAGTCAGCTGTTGCAATTAGTTTTGGAGAGGTGACCCTGCGTGGCAGAATAGTATGGCCGCTAGGGATGAGGGGATAAATGGATAGTCAGAGGAGGGTTTAAGCTTTTATCCCTTGAGTGAACAAGCGTGTTGGTGCAGATACGGGTTTATCTTACAGGATTGGTGAATAGGTTGACAAGCATCCCAGCCAATGGGAGAGCTGAAGCCCCATGCCTTTGCTATAGACAATAAATAACTACTTCTGCTTTATATTTTCACATTGCCACTATTAGTTGTTTGATGTTGCAGTTGTTTTATCTGTTATCTGTTCTTGTCCCACGCTAAACATAAACTCTTTCACTTATTTTAAGTTATGTACGTTCTTATTTTAAGTTACGTACGTTCTTATTTTAAGCCAAACCATAATCTCTTCAGGAACTTTACCAAGTAGTTTTGTTTATTTGCAAAGTCAACCCTGTTTAAAACTGCAACTGTTAACTTTAAAATGTGCAATGTGCAGGCATTTTGCTCTATCTGAACAATGAAAATGGTACAGCCATTGAATGGGCTATTCGAAATGGGCATCACTTTAATCATGTTGTTCATTGAGGGTTATTGGCTTGCTCATAAAAAAACTGCATGTAACCAGGGATTGTACAAAGTATGGGGGTTGATTGAGGAGTGATTGAAAAGTTTGTCATTACCAGCTAAATCGATCGTTTTTCTTATCCACCTCTTGTATTTTAACACCTCGGTTAGCTGTCAGCAGGGTATCTGATCCCACCCCCAGTAGTATTTACAGGAAAATAAAGATTGGCCAAATTGTAAAAAAGTGAGCTATAAAATGGGGTGTATTTAAAGGTGGCATATCTGCTGCCACTTCTTTTCTAATAAGGTTTATAAGCAGATGTGGTAAAATAAAAATATCTCTTAGCATTAAATTCAATTTAAATGAATCTGTGAAACCAACATGACTGCCTTTTTATCATTTTAACATCCAAGAACAGTCCAGTAGTCCTTCGCCATAGGCTCCCACAGTGACAAACACGCCAACCCAACTCAGTTCTGGAAAATGAATAAATTCTCTCGATGTTGAGCTGTAGGGTTTTGGCACTGAAGTGGCTGTTATTAAATATACCTTATAGTTAATGTTTGGCACTTTTTATTCACTGTCTTTGTTGAGCATAAAAAAAGCTGCTGGCAAATCAAAAGCAGTTAGGCAAATCAAACAGAATATGTTAAACAAAGGAAACAAAGGTTAAAGGTAGCTGAAAGAAAGAAATTCCCCAAAGTTAAACCCTTGACGTCCTCAAAATATGAATTAGTTTGGATATGCATTTAAATTAAAACAAGCAACTGCATGTGAAACAATCACAAGTGTTTTGATACCTTACACTTGTATCATCAACATTACTATTGTAAATGGTAATGTCCCCTGTGGTTCTGCTAATGTCAACAACATCTTTTACTTTTTACTTAAAGTATGAGCTTTGTTATATGTGAATAGCTCAGTTATTTCATGTTACTAAAGCCGCCATCTCCCCTCTCACAGACTTACCTCCCTGCTCGTCCAGCATAACCAAAGTCCTGATGCCAGCATCTTTGCTCTATTCCCCAAAGACCGCCAGGTATAAAGGAAGTGGGAGGGAGGGAGGACAAACAAAACAAAATAAAGGTCAGTAATGAGGCCACAACAGTTTAGGGAATCAGTTGCTGCTGAAAAATGTTCCTAGCTCCTAAGCAATTTAGCCATCCTCAACTTTTTCCCTTTTTAACCATATTTTCTTTTTAGCAGATTAAAACAACATGAACTTAGTCAGTGTTCTTTATCACTATTTTGCTTTCTTTGATATTATATTCTTCTACTGCAATAATGCTAGCACAACAACAAAGAGAGTCCAGGTTTATCCGCATGCAGGTTTATCCGCATGCATTACATTTAAAAATGGTGACAAGTTTTATGATGTCATGATTAAGGAAATGGTTATATGTTTTTGGAAATAAACTTATATTGTTTGATTAAAAAGGGCAAAGGTAATTCTGTCATTACAACTCAAGCATGAAACGTTGAAATAGCACCCAGGAGATTAACAATAAAAATGCTGACTGCAGAGAGGATATCTCATTAAAAATAAAAACCTTTCTATTGGATTTCCTCGTACAAATTAAACAATTAATAACCCAGGATCCCAACCCCCCGTCTGTCTACGACTCAGCAGCTTATGACCTTTGGACTACACATTAGTATTGATTGCAACTTGTAAGAAGGACTATTTTTCTACCGCCCTACATTTTAAATGTAGAATGTCTGTTGGTCTTCTTTCCCCCTTCAGATACATTTAAATCCTTCCTGACTCTAAACCATCAGAGCAGCTGAGCCTGCATGAGTGCCACAGTTAAAGCTTTTAGTCACTGATGGCTGTGTTGGCTACAGGTTTTGATTCTGGTAGAAAGAGTGTGAGGAGGAGGAGGAGTATAGCGATACTTGATTATACAACTCTTCCTCCTCTCTGCTTCTTAGAAATGCAGCGCCGTCTCACTAAGATGTGGCACCTGGTCGGTCCTGATTCGCATAAATACGATTATGGTGTGTCAGGCACACACTTGACATACGCTGTTACACATTAATATATCTCTTGCCACCTCAGCAATTTGGGAGGAAAGCGTGGGGGGTGCAATAAGGAAATTCTGGAGTATAAATGATTCTGTTATTAGGTAAGGCTGTGTCAAAGCAGAATCCCAAAGTAGTGGAAATGAGTCCCCAGGGAAACTCAACCATGATGTAATACAGGACTGGAGGTGGTTCAATGCGGATTTACTAATTCAAATCAGCTTGATAGATTCATGCATTTTGGCAGTTGCCTTTTTGTAGAATATATAGTTACAGCCTTAAGATTTGGTGGGGTGTGCTTCAACTTAAAGGATTCATAATTCTTCAAGAGCAACTAGCACAAATTGAGCTCTAAAATGTAATTCAAATCATGTGCATTGCAATTAACCACCTCATCATCTATACAATCCATTACGTTATCTTACATCTTTCAACTGGTTAAGACTAAGACATTTCTGAGTCAAAAATAGACCAAATGTTATTTACAACGAGGAGAATAAAAGCCTGTATTCAGCATTACAGCATATAACGCAATTTTGTAATCTCCCCGCCTGCAGCACACTCGCGCGGGGGGGGGGGGGGGTCTTAGATATGTCGGCTGATGATCAATGTGACCTTGAGATCTGCTTGTCAGACGCAGTCAACCCCAGCTGTCTACGCTGTCTCTCTTTTATGTCCTACTTCCCTCCATCTCTGTCTGCTTGTGTCACATCAGGCTTTCTGTTCTCCTTGTCTATCACTCTCAGTCTATTACACAGCATTATTTATTGGCACAGGCAAATAAGAATCGACAGAGTCTGCTCACGGGTGTGTCGTTTCTGATTTAAATGAATTAATTTCCTGTAATGGTATTCATGCCATCACTCAGTTGAATCATGGTTCACTCAATCTTGTCTGACTCTTTAAGCAATTAGAAGAGAGAAACCCTGAGCTTGTTAAAGATGAAAAATGAAATTGGATCGTATATTTTTAGAAATCAACGAGGTGATCAGCACCTCACCTAAAAGTAGTTTGATTGGTCAACAAGTAATCTGTGAAAGCTATTGTTAGCTAGTTAACGTCCTATGAAAATGAATTCCAGGTCTAAACAAAAGTAAATAATAATACTAAAATGTCTTCTGGTACCTAGCAGCAGAGTATTTAAGGAATAGTTCTCATTCTGAAACCCCCGCATCAAACCATGCGGGGGTTTTGTCTGCCTTATCACATGCATCTCAAAAAATTCAGAGAATGTCACCAAATCTTACTTTTTCAGTAGGAGTAACATAATTTTAAGACATTACATTTTCTGTGAGTTTCCTGATTATGCCCAAGACAAGTACATTCTTTCTTCCGCAGTATTTAAAAAAAAAACACGTCTATATACAGAAATTATGTATCTAGGAATCGATAGACTTCCAGTGTCACAATTTATATTCTCGCTGTGTCATGTTTAGTCTCAGATTTCATTCGTAAACTCAAAGCATCTTGGGTGGTTTTTACCTCCTCCACCAGCTGCAGCATACGACGGGTGCTCTCGAGAGACTGTGGAGAAAAAAGAAATACAGTTAATGAGATAATATGACAGATTCAAAATGGAAATAGCACTGTTTGACATCAGAGAACAAATAGATCTATCTTCCTGGGGAAACACAAAAATCACAATAACTTGTCCAAAGTGTTTATGTTAGTTGAAATGAGCATAAGCAGACTTGTAAACCAACAAAGTGGAGTGAATTTGAACAATCAGCGGGACACAAAAGGGGTCAATGTCGGCCATTTATCGACATGAACTCACAGCGACAGTGTGTCTGCACTGAGTATTGAATACGAACGACCGATGGGAATTTTGAAGGAAGCTGTAACAGTGACTGATTTCTGAAAAGTGTATATTTTAAACTGTCATTCAATAAAATGATTTGGAATTTAAGATAACAACTAAAATGCTTTCAAGCCCATTAGTAAGATGGCCGACAGGTGCAAAATCATTACTACCTTTTCCTTAGGAAAAATACGCTGCAGTTTAAAAAACGATACAATAAAAAACACAAATGTGCCAAAACAAATGCAACTGAAGAAACAACTTCACAAGCTTGACAACACATGTGCAGCGTTTACTAAAAGCGCTGCAAATCATTGTTGACGTTCAGGGATTATAAAGTTGGCTATCTCTCACAACCTTAAATTAAAATGTTATTGGCTTATTTTAACAATGTAATTGCATGATTCGTTCTGATATTATTGCAGATCTGCTGTAAAATAGCGAGCTTACGTAGCTAATCTAGTTATTTCATTAAATAAAACACATAGTGTGCCAACCGTGACAGTTGGCCAACTTCATAATCCCCTAACATGGGGTCCCAGCTGTGCATCACGTTTTAGTGTCCCCTGGTTTCCTTTGTGCTTCTACCAGCATTTTTCTATCGTCAGCCTGTGATGTTTTCATTTGCATGTGTTTTTGCCCATTTTTGTTTTTATATTTGCACTGTTTTTTGCAGTGCGTTTCTCCTAGGGGAAGGGTTTGGGAACACATTTTCACCTGTCGGCTACCATACATTTGAAATCGAACTCAAGATGATTGACTCAACAACACTATTGTCAGCCAATATAAATAACTACACTTCCTACTCTCTATCCCTTTTTCCGAAACGTCTATTATTAGCCTGTGTGTTGATAGATATGTAGATGAATGTTCCAATTCGTCTTACGTCTTTGATCTGAAATGGCCACGATATGTGCTGTTGTCATCATGAGAGAGGGCAAAACTGTTATTCCGACGCCACCATTTTGTGTATCCACTATGTTCACGCATGTGTTTAATATTCTGCTCAGCTGTGCCAGTGTGGAGCTGGAGGGGTGTGTTCTTATCTGCTCTGGCGCATGACTGAGATTTTCTCTCGCTCCCTCACACTGCTGTGAAACATACACACACACACGCACGCACGCACGCACGCACGCACGCACGCACGCACGCACGCACACACACACACACACACACACACACACACACACACACACACACACACACACACACACACACACACAGGTATACTCTCCTATCACCTGCACACACACATGCAAACAGCCATAGTCTGAGGCAGAACATAATGTGTGTGTTGTATAATATATATTCATTTGTCAATTTTGTTATGAGTATAATACATCATACACACCATGAGAATGCAGTTGAAATGAAAACAATTATAAAATGACTTTAAGATTTGGAAAATGTATTATAAGAGGACATTCCTAGCTATATTTAAAGGAAAACTCTTAGTATTTTTCCACCCTATTTTCCCATGTTTGAGTGACTTGTGGACACTAAAACATGGGATTAAAAAAACAATTGTTTCAGTATTGATTGAGAGTGCAGCGGCCGGCAGCTGTAAAAAGGCTGCAAAGTCACCATATCAGACAACGTGAGGTTTCAGAATGAGAGAAATAGACCAGCTCAAGCAAAAAGTGCAGAAAAACATTATATTTCTCTTTGGTCTCCTTTCCATAATGTTGTCAGACACTGAAATAACACTCTAAGCCTGTACACAAAAAAGCACACACAAAAAATGTTTAGTCGACATACATTGATGGTTTGGACCTTTTACTGTCTGCCTTCTGCAATTGTTTTGCTCATTACTGGACTGTACCAATTTCAAAAATTGTCGTTCCCATGTCAAAGTCTCTTTAAAGGGGCTCTACTATGCACACTTTCAGGTTCATATTTTCTGCCTCTATTGTGACATGTTTCCATGATTTAATGTTCAAAAATCTCTTTATTTTTCTCATACTGCCCGCAGCACCTCTTTTCACCCTCTGTCTGAAACCAGAGCCCAGTCTGCTCTGATTGGTTAGCTGGCCGACTCTGTTATAACTGGTCAATCGCTTAGAGATGTCCCGCATATCACGTACACTTTGTTGGAGCACTAGTCAATAGAAGCACGAGTGTTCAGTATGGACACTCGTGCTTCTGGAAGTAAGCAAAGGAATCCAATGGAGGCGTTTCAGGCAGGGGGGGGGAGTGTGTGGGAGAGAAACTCCCTCTGGAGGGAACTTAGGGATTTTAGCCTTTGCAGACCATTTACATGCACACAAATGTATATAACACACTACAGGGAAGGTAACATCTCAAAAAGCATAATAGCTTCGATGTTCACTTCTCATTTGTATGCCTATGAATGTGCTCAAGTATATTCTCTGTGAGTAGGTGTGCATAAATACAAGCATGCGTGCCATCAAGTTCATGCATCATCACAACTGAATCCAGTGATGCATGGAGCGTGTTGTTCTCACCTCATCGGCCAGCTGGTCGGCGCGTTGCTGCATGTCTGACAGCTCATTGCGCATGTCCGCGTCCTCTGCCATGGCTGCTGGATGTTGGGGGTGGAGAAGGACTCCAACAGGGAAGAGAAGATCCTAGTGGGATTTCGGGGAGGGCTGAAGAAGAGACGAAACAAAGGAAAGGAAACATTAGGCATACATTGTCTGTAATTATTTAAATATTTGACTATTGCAATGAAAATTAGCTGGCTTCTGTCATTTGGAAAGTCATTGATATTAAAAGACGTGTTAAAAGATACTGTGGGAGAATTATATCCACAACATCATACATATCCGCCTCCTTTGTGTGTACATCATTGTTTGATACCAGAACAGAAAAGTATTCGAGTTGAAGAAACAGTGGCAACAAGGAAGACAATGTTTGCAGAACAAAATCATGCTCAGACGGGCCAATGTTGGCTGAAAATGTAAAGGATTTGCGCGCATAGTATGTTACTGGGAACACATACTTACATTTGCTAATCATGTTATGACTTATTCAAGACAAACTCAGACTAATTAATTCACCATAAAATCCTCAAGGTCCTATTTATCTCTCTTGAGCCAGGTTATACTCTCCTCCCTACCTAATGGCTTCGAGTTGCCCTGCATAACAGCAGCAGCTGAAAGCCGGAGGAGCAAAATATAAAATATATTCCAGAGGTGCGAAGAAATATGGCCTTCAACAAAATGGGCCAAACGAAATAGGAGGATTGGAGCTTCTATCTCCCAATTCTCTGTTGCAGGATGTATAATCGAGGATTAGGAAGCTGCAGCAGTGTTTGTTAGTTGGGGAATGAGAGGAAGCGTGGTGTTTGAAGAGGAATGCCAGTCTCAGACAGCGTTGACTGGGATTTTGGTGGATTAGCGACAGAGAGACATAAACAGTTTGCCCTGTCGCTGTGAACCTTTCCTCTCCTCTGTAGGTTATGAGAACAGGCCAGAATCCCAAGCCAACTCCAGATGCTGGATTACCGGTAGCAAACTCTAAAGATCGACATGAAACAACATTTGTCATGTGTCAGATATGTTAGAGATTGGATATGGCTACAAGGCAGACTTACATCAAAATTGTATACACCTCAAGTTAAGAGAATTGCCTTGCATAGTTTTGTAATCCTGCAACCATTTTGGGCATCCAATACCCATTATAAATAATGTTGAGTCATTGTCTGTTAGGTTGAAATAAGGAGCGGCATATTTGTATGCCTTAGGTACAACACATATTTGTACAAAAATGGGTATCGCAGACAAAGTATTTTTATTCAATCGGATTGGTCCAATCATGTCTGTCGTTGAACCATGTTTTTTGTTTTTGTTCATTTATGGATGCTGTTTGTTGTGTGTAGGTTATTCGCTGTCTGTAATGCTAACCCTTAGCGGACAAGATAAGTAAATTGTTTTGAATGAGTTTTGTGCAGCCTCTCTGAGAGCTTTAAGTTGAAAATATTTCAACCTTTCAGAAATGTTCTGGCGACGTGATAAATAGGAGTAGAGGTTTGTTTTTGGCCTGGTGTTTTAGATGGAGAACTCCTAACAGAGATCCAAAAAGCCCGTTTGTCTAAACAGATCGGCAGCCAGACACTTAGACCTTGTTGCCGGTCAGCGTTTTGACGACTTCGCCCTCCTGACTCGACAGCTGTCAGACTGAGCGGTGAAGCTCATTCAAATAATGTGTGAGAGCAACCATCTTGTAGTTGGTGTTTGTCAAACAAATATAAAGTAGCCCAAATGGAAATTGTGATGCGATATTACAAATTAAATTGGGATGAATAAAATAAATCGTATCTTATATTATGTTTAGATATCATTGTCATAGAAACATTTGAAAAAGCGCTGGGAGTGTTTTTTTGCTGGAATGTTGTTCGGAGGCCAGTGCCTTTCTGCCAGAAAATGACACTATGTGGACACAGCGGCTTATTCTGCTTTTTTTTCAGATTATTTCAGAATAGGACGTTCAGCTGTAATGTTACTCTACCCATTGTATCAATGCACAGACAGAAGGGAAATGCAAAGTTACTTGCTGTGCTCCTTGACGCCTTCACTGTCTTACTAGTTATAACATTTATTTTGGGGGGAAACATTGGGAACATAAAAACCTTTTAGCATTTTGAAATTCCAGTGGTCTGACAGAAAACTAGACTCCTGCTCCCTCTCTTGGCTTTGCTTTCATGCTTTAGGAAAATTGACCATTAAAGGAGACTTTGGCAATAACAGGTCACTTCAGAAAGAGGACATCCTATTGGCTGTTTTGCAAATGCACATGTTGGTGCACGCCGTCCTATCAAATGGTAAAAGCCTGATTTAATTGCATAAAGAACCTGCCAGAAGAAGTTGCTTTCCATCATGAGCAATGATGTTTCTTTAATATTAGCCAAAGGGTAAAAGCTGCGGCTATGTAGCTCAATATAGCCTCAAATCTACTGACCCAAAGCTTCATAAGAAAACAGGTCAGTAATTAACATAGAATTGCAGCTACAGTATATAACGGCTCCGGGATCACATTGGGATGATGTAATGCTATAAAACAAACTACATCAACACCGCTAGGCATTGGGATATTTTCTTTTGAACTCCTCTGGAGCAGAGAGAGGAGCTGTGGATTATTGTCATTGATTAATGCATCAGTGTTTCTTAGGGTCAAAAACACTAAACTCACAACTTAAAATGAAAGCGTTTAGTTTATTTAATAAAAGAGCACATGTTCAATGTGAAAAGTGACGGTAGATATAGATTAGTTGCAATTTCGTGCTATATTAAAAAAAAACTAATAAATAATTTTAAAAAAACACCTTTTTAAACACCTTGAATTTCAGGGGGGGCGCGGGGCTCCAAGACAATGGTAGGGGAAACACTGGAGTGCTTATATTGTGCTTGTCTAGAGGGAGGGGCTTAGAACAGAGGGGATAGAGTTACAGTAGGACGGCTGCATATATTTTGCTTTTTCCAGAAAACTGTAAGACTATTTTCTTGCAGCAGAAAAAAACAACAAAATGGCAGAGAAAAATCTGCGTCAGGTAAAGACTGATCACATAAGGATGTGCATCATCTTGGACAGACGGCCTCGCCCACCTCGACGTGTCTCATCCTGGTGCCTCTGAGCTTCTGCTGTACCCTCTGTGTCCGCTTCACGCACTCATGTGTCCGGAGATGTTCACAACAGCATCTGCTGGCCATACACTCGCTGCACATACACAGGAAATGAAGCAATTTTTTTGTGTGCCATGACAATATCCCTGGACGTCACGGACTGAATCACCAAAACCTCCCCAGGCGGTATATAGATTAATCTGTATTCAACTCAGCAGATTAATTCAGTCATGTATAGCTCAGATTGACAGAGGCATCGTAATGATAATGTCTGGGGCCCATTTTATTGTAGCATTTACTCTGATTTCTACTGACACACTTGGAGATCCTTCCACTATGTTGCACGTCAAATAACATTTTTCTATTTGATATCCATCATGATATTAAATCTCTTCCTGCTTACATTTCTCTCCTCTCCTCTCTTCTTGCTCTGCTGCACTGCTTCATAACAGCAGTGGCCAGATTGGGTTATATAAACCTCCAACTGGACTTAATGTCTGAATCCAGTCAGATTCAAAGAGAGGACATCATGGCTTCTCGGCCTGGTTGCGTAACAAAATTCAGGCAATTAAATTTAACCGTCCAGACTGACCTTTTACTTTAAGTCTCAATTACCGGCTCCACATTTTTAATCTCAGCAGCATTCATCACTGCCTGCTTCCAGAGCAAATTCTGGTCGTCCCTAAATCAAGGCTTAAGCAGTGAGGTGACAGAGCCTTTGCTGTTGCAGCTCCAAAGTTATGGAACGAATTGCCCCTCCAGGTTAGACTTGCTCCAACTCTGCCTGTTTTTAAATCTTGTTTAAAAACCCACTTCTTTTCCCTTGCATTTACAGACCAGGTGACACTTGTGCTTTTAAATTTGGGTTTTTATCTTGCTAGTGTTGTGTTTTGCATTGTTTTTACGTCGGAGAGTTTCTCAGTCTGTGGCTTCTGATCTGGTTTCATTGTCTCGTGTTTTACATTTGTTTCATGTCCTGTCTGTTTTTCATTTATTTATGCTATGTTTTTATACAGTTGTTGATGTACAGCACTTTGTTCAACGCTGTTGTTTTTAAATGTGCTATAGAAATAAAATAGATTGGATTGGATTAGATCACTAGATTCTCTCAAGAAGAGATGCACACTACTGGTGGAGCAGCTGTAATGTAATAACATGCTTTCGTAATCAATGCATTAATCAGTGAGCATGTTTGTAGGTCACATTATAGTACAGTTAGAGAGAAGAATGTATGGTATTTTTCCCATGTAGGCTCAAGTATAGACGTTCTTGATTTGACTTGAATGGATTTAAAATAGCTTTTTGGTCATTTCTAATGACATCATTTCTGCAAACATATTGGCTATACTTAACTTGGAAAATCCTTTACCCTGGGAATACAAATCTGTGTCAAAATATTTTAGACTCAAGGTTCCCTTCCAAGCTTTTTTACGGAAGCTTTCAACCATATTTTTGCAGCATTCTTCAGTTATTGAGCAAAGGTCTGTATGAGGTCTAAGAAAACTATGAATTATGGGAAATTGTTTTATTTAAAGGTGAATAAGTGAACTTGGATTGCGAACCAAATATGACATTTTGTTTATTATGAGTTAAGTCACTGATTTATTGATATGAATACTATATGTCTTCATTCAACCAATAATGTGTCTTAAGTATTAGCCTACTGCTTTTGTATTTTTACATCTCACAATGATAATGAAAGGGAACAATTATTTGTGATTCGGATCTTCTCTGAAATTGAATGTCTTCCTTTACTACAAATTCATATATATTCAATTTCATTTTTACCATTGCTACTATACCACACTAATGGAGAGCTAAGCCCCTTTCTAGCTTCTGTTAGCAGTTTGCATCGATAAAGCAGACAGAGACTGCTTAACAGAGTTAAATCTATGTTGTATGATGTCCTTTTTGTTTTTCTGTTGTTTTCTGTTTTGATGTCTTCATGTGGAACCTACTTGCAGCAGGTCTCCCTTGAAAAAGAGATTGATAATCTCAATGGGATTCACCTGGCTAAATAAAGGTTTGAAAT